AGCCGTGGTCATGTGGCCAGGTCACTTATTGAGCCGCATTTGGTGCAATGAGCACCTAACTCGAGTTTGGGAGAACGAAGTTCGAGTTCAGTGACCTTGAGAGGGATCTCCAGAACTTTGTGACCTTGGGCTGGTCACTTTCTGGGTCTCAGTTTCCTCAACTGGAAACCAAGGACAACCCTGAGAAGACCCTCTTCCTGGCTTGTTGTGAAGACTAGGTGAGATTGTCTCCTATGAGGAGAGCCTGTACTCCATAAAGTCAGGCTGCCAAGTAATGGCCTCCCTGAGTGACCTTAGCTGCCGTGAAGAGAGTGTGTGTGTGTGTGTGTGTGTGTGTGTGTAAATATTTAAACTCAGAGGCCGAGGATAAAGTTAGAAGCAACAGGGTGGGTAAAAGCAGCTTTGACTTAAGCATATGCCTAGACGTTTTTAATTGTGTTATTTATAGCATAAAATATTTTGACAGGTGCTTTAAAAAAGCCGAGTGCACGCCCAGGCGCCCTCCCCTTGCTGTGAGTCGGTCGGCACCTGTGTAGCGCGGTGGCAGAGGCGGGCTGTCTGTCTCCATAGCAATCCTCCCCTGGCACTTAGGAAAGGGCCCATTAGATCGACAGAGATTGGGGTCACCGGGTCACTGATGGGACTCTCTTCAGGGATCGGCGTTTATACTCTTCTGAATTTTCATCATGGAGCGCTTGGCCAGGTTCAGCCATCAGCGAGATTTACCTCCTGGGCTCAAAACTGAGGCCAAACTGCATGTGAAATATTAACTGAGGGCAGTGTAGCGTTTTGTCAGACTTGCGCTTTGATATGAAGTGTCTTTCTGGGAATTCAGCTCATTTTGCATGTATAACACTTCCGCGTCTGTCACCATGCATTTTCCCAAGCCATATTCCGTAGGCTCCGGGAGGGGACCCAGGATTTAATTAACGACCTCTCACGTATGATTAAGGGCCTGGGCTCCAGGGCTTGTGACGCGCCGCCCGCGGGTCTGAGACCGTCTCCAGCAAACCTTCCGCACGGGCCCTCGCTGTCTCTGGTCTCCTCCAGCTTGTTTTGCCGGGCCTCTTCTGTCTGAGCCATTCTCAGGAGGAGGTGGTGCGCTTTGCCTGGTTTCTGGGGGTGGGGGGGCACAGTGGACTCCCACCCCGCTGTTTGTTAAATCTCCCGCTTGGAAATGGGGTCTGACAGAAAGGCTGAGGCTTCCTGAGCCCTGGCTGAGAAGAGGCGTTGGAAGGCAGGGCAGGATGCGCCTGCCCTGCGGTGCGGAGGCAGTCACCCCTGCAGGGAGGGGTGGGGGTGGGTCCTCCATAAGCCCCTCCCCACATAGCAGGGTGGGTAGCTCTATAGGGGCTCCCCCACAACAGCCCTGACTTGGTCGTTGTTCAGGATAGAAATCACAGATCCGGGAAATGTTTTCATCCCATTTCTATTATAACGCAAAGCTTGTGGATGTCCCATCCACCCTCCTTGCCAGGACTTTGTTTTTCCTCCGCAGGCCCAAACCCACCAGCATGGCCATGGAGGCCCTCTGGTATTAGGACCCACCCACTCCCCTGTTGCTGTGGGCTCTGCCGCAGCCTCGTGCTTCCTCCTCCCTGGAGGACAAGGCTCTTCGCCCTCCAACCAGGTCACCCCGGGTCCCTGCTGGAAACCTTGCATTCCTCCCTCAGGGCACCCACTTCCACATTTCCTCCTGGAGCAGCCTCTCTTCTCTGAGCTCTGCTGGTGCGCAGGCGCCAATTTACTGCAACAACCTCCTGCCCTTTGTTTAGTGGTGACCTCCGGGGAAGCAGGGCTTCGCCTCGCTCTTTTCTGTATTTTTCCATGACTCAATAGACAGTAAATAGAGTCTCAAAAGATACTTATGTCAACGTGGCATTGGACCCTGGGGTTGTCAGGGACAGAAGTGATACGTGCTGGGTGTCCAGAGTGCCTTTGAAGTGGGAAGACATTTGTGACCTCTCCCGTACTTATATCAGATCGAAATGTGCCTATTAAATAAGAATAATGAAGAAGTAAACAGCTCGGTTTAGGACTTAAGAGGAGTTATGTTTGCGTTGGAAGCTTGCCCTGCACTTTATTACTTCGTAAGCTCCAGCAAGACACTCGGTTCCCTAGATGTCAGTCTTCTTGGCTGCAGAGACAGCAAATGGACTTCAGGGACCATAAAACACACCGCTGTTACTTCCCGTACCGCTGAGGAAAAAGTCACTTTTGGTTAAACAATGATGCAGTGCTCGCTGCAGCGTGGACTTTTTAGTTTATGCTTCCTGAAACAGTTCTTTTAGATGCATCTGGGCTGTGCAAAAAGGCATGTATCTCTCTTCAGAAAGGAAAAGATAAAGGAAACCGACGGGTCGAAGTGTCCCTAAAAAGCCTTCCTATTCAGAGCCCGAGTTCTGAAACCTGTTTCCACTCCGAATAGCTGAGGCTCCTGTTTTGCCTCGTGGCCACCTTGGTGTCAGCGAAGCTGTTGGTGACGCCCGTCGTGTTCTCCCTCCAGGAGCGAACTGCTGTTTTCCGTGGGCTTCTCTGCCAAGGCCCTAACACTGGCCTTCAGGTTTTAAATGCTTGTGTTTTCCCGCTCTTATATAAGTCCTGGTCCGCAGAAGGTTCTCAGCAGCCCCTGGGACTGAGGTGGCCCTTAAATGGGGCGTACGGTCAGCCAGGCCACCAAGAACAACAGTCACGCAGGAGCACATTCGTCCGGACCGCCCCCTGGCTAACAGTGGCTGTGAGACACACCCCCAGATGAGAGATGTGCACGGGTTTAGGATAGATGCTGCAAGGCGTCCCCTGCCTGCCAGGGTCGCGGCGAGGCTTAAAGGAGAAGAGGTTTGCAGCTCTCCCCGTGACGATGGCTGTAACAGGCTCCCCTGGAGCACTCATTAGTGCGATGTACTTATTAACGTGTGCTGTAATTTTCCTATTCAAGTGTTTCCCAATATACGGTGTGGGGCGAAAGCAGGTTTACAGCTGTGAGTCCACACAACGGTTCATTCTTGTGCTATTGTTTATCAATCATTGTATCATGTTCCACACAGACCATCGTGAACCCACCTTTGCTCAGCCGGTGTTTCCCTCTTTTACAGCGATGTGATTGAGTCCCAGTGCGATGCACAGGTCTGGGGTGTCTAGTTCTGTGAACTCCAACACCGGGGGCATCAGCAGCCCCATCACGGCACTTCCATCACCCCAGGAACATCACCTGTGCTCCTTCCCAGTCCTCACATGACCATCCCCCCCACCGCCCTCACCCCGCTTCCCCAGACAGCTCTGTTCTGGTGGCTCCTCCCATGGATTGGTTTTGCCTGTTCGGAGTGCTCAGTGAGAAAAAGGTACCAACTTGTATCAGCAGAGTCATGTGGGGTGCGTCTTTTGTGTCTTTTTTTAGATGGTTCCAGGTCACATCGTGTGTGACGAGTTGGTACCTTTTCCATATATATATATACACACACACACACACACACACACACACACACACATACATACATGCATATATATATATGGGTATTTTGGGTATTTTCTCCCAGTCTGAGGCTGGCTTATTCATTTTCTTTATAGTATTTTTTTGCATGGGTAGAGGTTTTTAAATTTTAATGAAGTCCATTTACGAATGTTTCTCTTTTATAGTTAGTGTTTTTTGTGTCCTATCCAAAATTTTTGCCTACTCCCAAGTCGGAGAGAGATTCTGCTGTATTTCCTTCCAGAAGCTTCACAGTCTTTGCTTCTGCAGCAGGTCCACGATCTCCCTCTAACTCGCCCTCGAGTGTGGTTTGTTCAAGGCGTGGAGCAAGGTGGACGAGCTCCCTGTTCAGGGAGCGGGCGCTCCAGCGCCATCTGTTGAAAATACTCCCTTTTCCCCACGGACTTGCTCTGGTGCTTGGGGTGAAAATCAGCCGGCTCTGTGAGTGCGGTCTGCTTCCGGCTGTCTGTTCTGTGGCATCGACTCGGTCGTCCGTCTGTCTCTGTGCCGGTGCCATTCTGTGTTGACATGCTGCAGCTCCGGTGTTAGTTCAAGTTCATGTGGTGTACGTCCTCTTGCTTCGTCCTACCTTGCAAGAATTGTTTCGGTCTAACTAGGTGGTTGCATTTTCTTTTACTTGTAGGATGAGCTTGTCAGTTTCTACAGAAGACCCACATGAGATTTTGATTAGAATTGTATTGAATCAATAGATCCATTGGAGGAAAATGGAAATCTGAACAATAGTCCGTTTTCCAATGTATGCATGTATATCTTTCTGACTACTTGTTTTCTTTAATTTCTCTTGAGTTTTAAAAATGGGTTTCTGTGTAGACATTTTACACGTCTGTTTACATTTTATCTATAGCTATTTTGACTTTTAAAATATTTCAGGTATATGAAAAAATTCATTTTCCAATTGTTTGCTGCTGATGCTTAGAAATCCAATTGATTTTTGCATGTTGACTTTATATCCTGTGACTTTGCTAAATTCAGTGTGCCATATATTTTGCTCAGTGCCTTACAGAAGGTCATGTTTATTCTTGCCACCACTTAGGTGGCAGGTGCAATCATTTTTTTATAAGAAGTTTGCCTGGAAATTAGATAGGATACATTCTTTGCTCAGGGTCATTCGGTGTGCCATTCGGAGTAACAGGGGGACTAGGATGTGACTTTGGGTCTTGCCTGACTGCACAGACCAGCCCTTTTCCATCTGACAATAGTATTTTACCTCTTTGACATTCGAATATTTGAATGTCCTGATACAACGGGGCTTCCCAGGGGTTCGCTGGGACGTGAATTGGCCAATGGAACCATCAACACAGGCCTAACAAGAATAAGGTGGTAAAGAGGCTGGTGGTGTTTCCAGCTCAAGGAGGATGGTTAGAGCCTCCCCAGCTTCCCCCGCAGCAGACTGCCCTTGCAAATTCACCCCCTTTACGCCCCGATGATGCACATTAGCTGTTGCCGAACCTCCCGTGCGTGGGGATGCCGTAAACTTGTTTTCCCTCCCTCTCTCTGCGATGCGCTGCAGGCAGCCATTTCGGGACCGCTAAGGAGCTCACAGAGGAGATCAGATCGTTGACCTCTGAGAAGGAAGGGCTGGAGGGACTCCTGCACACGCTGTCGGTGCTGAGCTCCAGGAACGCCCGGAAGCTGGGGAGCGTTCGCGAAGATTACAGCCGGCTGCGCAGAGACCTGGACCACGGGAAAACGGCCCACGGTAAGACGTCACAGGTGTTGCCCGGTGACGTAGGTACGAGATTTATCCTGTGGCTTGCCCCCCAGGTCCCTCTGGGCTTCACGTGGACGTCATGTGCAGGGCGGCCTGAGCCCACCACACTTCTCCTGGACGATTTTTTCTTTCTTTTTTTTGTCAGGAGCCTTGGCAAATGGAGTAGCATTTCTTGGCAGCTTTTGTTTCTCATCACACATGACGTCCTTTGTCCTTTTTTTCTGCCTTCTTCCCCCTCCTCTCACTGGATTTGCTAATGGCCTTGTGATTATTTGGAGCAATCTCTCCCTTGGCACAGGCCTTGAGAATTTGCTCAGTTTGACAGTCATCTTCCTTTTGTCTCTTGGCTCTGTTTTCTGGCTCAAAACAGTAAAAGCAGGCTGATGCTGAGAGCACCGAGAAAAGACCGCGAAGGGCCTCTTTTTCCGCGGGAGCTTCTCCGGGAGCTCCTTTCCCCGGAGGGATGATGCAGGAGGCGCCAGAGTGGCCTTAGCCGAAGCGGCTGCCTGTCGGGAGGGGGGTTCCTGTCCTCCTGTCCCTCGCCCGCTGCCCTTGTTAAGAGAGACTGAGGGCACCTTGAGGTTTCCTCCCTGAGGGACAGTGTCAGAAGACGCCAGTTCAGTCCAAATTAAGGGGAAAACTTACTTCGTAAAAAAAAAGCGAAGTTATGGTGATTCAGTTTCTAATGTGCAGAATGAAATCATATGATGCACATCCAGGTTTAAAATATATCAGATGCTGGAACCTGTTTCTTTACCAGCGAAATGAGGAGAATAATACCCGTCATATAGTTTGATAAAGTGGTATAGATGAAATGAAGTAAGTTATTGGGGGGGTGCGTGTGCCCTTGCATTTCCCCAGGGAACTCCGGGTTTCTGGAGCACATCGTGGCCCCTGCGTGAATGTTGTTTACCAGGAAGATGAAAGGCACACGTACTAAAAGTGACTGTATTTACAAAGCACGCTGATTGCGTCAGAAGTAAGAAAAGACTGGGGATATTAGGTAGCTAGCTTTGACATCAGCTAGTTGAAATTAGATGTGACATTTTACTAGGAATAAAGTTAGTCTGAAAGGCTTGCTACATTTTATAGAGATTTCTTTGTGGAGTTAGGGGCTTCAGTGTTACCTCGTCTTTTTAGCTGGGGACACTCTTACATGGGCTCAGTTCAGAGCTGCTTTTTTTTTCCCTCGCTTTTCTCCCAACCTCGTTTTTGCCAAATACGTCGTAACGAGAGACTGTACATTTGAGCCTTGGTAAGACCGAGGAACAGCAGCGCAGCCCCTCCCAAAATCTAACAGCGTGGTTTTAAGTTACGCTAGAAATGAACATTGTGTGTTTTAAATACGTTTTTGCTCCCGACTCGTAAAAACTGGATAAACAATGAAACCTATGACATTTCGCATATTCTCACCACACCAGTTCTGGCACAAAGCGAGGAATCTACCATATCTAAGAATAAAGAAGATGTGGACAAATGTAGACAAATGTAGTACAGCAACATTTTCATTCGGGCGGTTGAGCTCTTGAAAGCCATTAATATCTCTTTTCTTTCAAAGGAGAGCCGCACGGTATTGTTTGAATCTCATCATTGTCACTTCACCAAGTATTTGGAGGACGATGAATAAAACATAAATAAACGGGACGAGAGGCTGTTAGCAGGCCTGGCTCTAAATTGCAGATGGCTCATTACTGTCGGGAAGGCCTGCTGGGGCTTGTGCCCGGATTCTGCTGGATCAGCCACCCTTTCCCCGCGCTTTTGCCTGGAGCTAATTTTTAAGCAGTCTGAGGGGACTTGGCTGGGGGCAAGCCAAGTGCATAACCCTGGGCTGGTGACAGGGTGGGGGACCAAGAGATACATACATACATACATAAATAAATAAAGAATGAATCCCTCCATAAGGTAAAGCTTTTATCTATTAAAAGGCAGTAAAACTGGGCCGAAGCCCACCCGCTGCTCTCTGGCGGGTTGTGAGAGTTGAGCGTTCCGAGGGGGCTCTCACGCTGAACTGTGGAGCAAATGCAAAGGAGCAGCAGGCCTAGGCATTTGTGTACCATGACCTGACTCTTTTTTTAATAAAAAGATTTTATTTATTTTTAGAGAGAGGGAAAGGGAGGGGGAAACAGAGAGAGAGAAGCATCAATGTGTGGTTGCCTCTTGAGCGCCCCCTACTGGGGACCTGGCCCGCAACCCAAGCAGGTGTCCTGACTAGGAATCGAACCGACGACCCTTTGGTCTGCAGGCCGGCACTCAGTCCACTCAGCCACACCGGCTGTGACTGAGCTGACCCTTTAATCTTAGACAAAATGTTTTGAAAAAAGACTGTTTAGGAAATGAACTCTATGTCGTGGGCTCATAAACAGATTTTGGTTTCCAGCAATGGTGCAGAATGCAGCTTTGGGGAGAAAAAGGCACTTCAGGGGTGGACGAGCAATTCAGGAAGGCCAGGGCCCAGGCTCTTCTGCTTTGTTCGTCTGTACCCCTCGGCCTGTGACACTCGGGCAAGGCGGCTGAGCCCGTCTCATGGGTGCCCAAGTCCAGCCAGGGGTCTGTTTCCATAGCAGAGGGGCAGTCGCAGTCTCAGCTGTTCTGCGGCATACATAACTCGGGTGTCCCGGGGGCAGCCTTGGTGATGGGCAGTGTGCCTGGGATGACTCATCGCCGATGGACTTGCTTTGGATCAGACAGTGTGTTACGTCTTGTGACGCCGGCCAGGTTGTAAGTCTTTCAGGGTCAGAGCTCTGTTCTCATGTGTCCTTGGGGTGTCACCGCGGTGTCCACCAGCGTGTCTTCAGAAACGGTACATGTGCCACAAGTATTTGTTTGCTTCCTGGGGCCAGTCTTTTATTTTTAATTACAGACCCACACCTTGGGTCTTTTTTAAAGATTTCAAAAATTTATTTTCCCACTTCATGCGAGCAGCAGTAAGTTTGATAGTCTTTCATGGAAGGTGCTTGGGTCGTCTGGGATGGACATTCAGACTGGGGAGTCGGCAGGCAGAACAGTGTGGTGACAGGGACTGCAGTGGGCTGAAGTGCTCACAGGCAAAGGGACACAGAGACGGTCACTGGACCCACCGGCCTGTGTCACGGCAACGCCTGTCTCTGAAGCAGGGAGAAAGGGTCACGCCTTAATCCCTGTGGGCTGCTCTTGAGACTTCAGGAGGACGTGTACGAATTCTGAGCAATTTTCAGTGCTTTGAAATAGAATCAAAAGCTCAATCTATCTTTCAACCCCTGAATGCTTATGGAAATGAACTGCAAACCTTTAATTATTGTGGATTGCAACGTTTTCTTTTTTTCAGGGAGGGTGGGATGAGAAAAGTAACTTTTTCAGTTTGCTACATCTGCTTTGCAGAGAGAAGACAGCCCTGAGCTTCCCGGGTTTCCCTCCCTTGCTGGCAATCTGTACCGTACCTTTACTAACGCCGTTGATTTCGCGCTGTAACTCACATGTAGAGGAAGCAGACGTCAAGGGGAGAGATTTAATCACAGAATAATCAGGGCTGGAATTTTAAATAGGACGTCATTAGCATGTTAATGCGTTTTCCCACTTTCCGCATGCCGCCCTTCTAGGAAAATACTGTGGATGTAGCTCCAACACCCAGCTGGGTCTGTGGCCCAGTGAGCTGTCAGGAACCCTGCAGGAGATGCTTAAGAAACATCGAGGAATTTTCCGTGCCAATGACAAATGGCAGGATTTCTTCTTTTCTGGGAGCGATGGCTGGCTGTGTCCAGCTTAAACTCATTTGCCTTCCGGTGAGTGAGGAGGGAGTGGCAGGCGGTTCGGGAGTAGTCAAGTTGGGGAGGACCTGACTTGTCAGTTATGGTTCAGGGCTAGTGGCTGCCTCTTGCTTTAGACTAGAAAGACCATATGTCCACACCGACATAATCCTGCTCTTATTTTTGGATGACTTCATAATTTTTGAGCTTGAAATAGCTAATAAAAGTAAGGATGGTGTCCTAAAGTGTGAGGCCTTAGTGTCTTTAGCTCTGAATTCCACAGGTGAAACTTCTTTGGGAAGCCACCTCACACCTAGCAAGAAAAGGCTTTGGGTTGAGAGATCTTGTGTGTTACAGGTTTCGCATGTCTAGGCACTGATCTCTTTCCACATTTAGCAGATGTATTTAAAAGTGATTTCCAGGAAAATTAGACCAGAAAAATAAAATCTTCTGGTTTCTTTTTTTGTGGGTGGAGGAACCAGAGAACTGGAAAAAAATACACATATATACACAACAAAATTAGCAAAGGAAAATAAAATTTAAACGTTGGGACAGAAGAACATGCTAATGATAAGTGTTAATTATGCTGGTTGAGGATATGATGTAACAGTGAGCTTCGCAGAGGCCAGAACACAGAGGCGGTTGAAGCCACATCTGTCCTTCCTGAAAGCAACTTAACGCACAACGTTCTCAGGAGTTCTCAGACCATCTTTTTGAGAGCACAGTAGAAGGTCCTCATGAATAGATTTATAACAAATGCAAATTGTGCTTTTCCTGTGTCTGTTACCAGCCATCTCTGGGGTGTGGCGGGGGGGACGTTAGGGAATGCTTTCAAAGAAAAGGTTCGGGATGGATAGACTGAAACACCAGCTTCAGATCTGTGGGTATGATGTGTTTTATTTGCCACAAAAAAATCTAGCTTTTCAGCAGCTTTTTAAAAACCCTCACCCAAGGACATTCTTGTTGATTTTAGAGAGAGGGGAAGGGAGGCAGAGAGAGGGAGAGAAACATCAGGAGGTTGCCTCTCGAGGACCAAACCCACAACCTGGGCATGTGCTCTGATCAGGAATCGAACCTGCGACCTTTTGGTTTATGGGACGACACTACAACCAACTAAGCCACACAGGTCAGGGCTCAGCAGATTCTTAAAAGAGTCATTCAAAGTTTGCCCAGAGTTTAAGAGGATTATGTTAACATACCACACCATAGGAGTGGATTGGTGAGAGCTTGGGCTCATTAGGTTTAAACATGGAGTCTTCCTGTGCT